AATTTTTTTCTTTCCAATTTTATCACCAGCTCCTCAATAAGACAGTTTACATGCTCATAAGTCAATGAATTTCTCTACAATTTTGTAAATTTGTTTCTCTTTTTTGTTACAAAAAAATAATTGTAGCCGGTCTAAGGATTATACATACTTATGCGTCTATTTCGGGATATATTGTCGGCATAAAAATACTTTGAAAAAAAAAAGAAAAATAAAAAACAAGTCGACTTCACACATTTTGTCATTGTTATTATTTCAGCACAACATGCCTTATCAACAAACATATGCTGTCAGCTTGCAGGTGCTTTTCAAAACCTTCATTACACACATACATACATTCAAATCACACTTGTGTCGACTGATGCACTTAGGCAAACTCTTACGCATAGAAATTTACAAATATTTACTAAAATATATCGAAGATACTATTTCTAGTGTGAAAGTAGATGAAATTCATGTTCAGCAAAATGTTGGCAAAATTGCTTTACTTGTTTTTACTTTTCTAGTACAGTTTGAGTTGTCCTTCGGAGTGACAACATTTCTTGGTCAATACTCAATGTTCAATAGCTGGTTGACAGCAATTTACTATACAAGTGTATTTATAAGCTAACAGCTGCTTGTACTTTGATTTTATGTATAATGTTTTTTTTCTTTTGTTTTTGTTTTTCATGCTTTTGTAAAAATGTATTTATTTCAAGATTTCGTTCTTGTAGCATTTCATCACCTTATTGATTTTATTTACGTGAAGAATATTGTGTATACTAGTATGTACGTGTGTGTTTTGAAATTTTGCAAAATCGAAATAAAGTGACAGGGTAAATTTTTAGAAACACCAACACATACACATATGTACCTATATTAACATATGTATATATATTATACATATGTGTATATGCATATTTTGTACACAAAGATGAAAGAAAATATAAGTATAATGCAAAATATATGTGAACATGTTTGTAGGTAAATGTATTTGTAAACAAACAATTTCAGTTTCAATTTCAAGTGCAATCACGTCAAGCATCGTAGAGCAAAGCGATACGCACATATGTATGCATGATATGTATTATGTATGCAAAAATTTTTGTAAGCACTGCGAATGACGAAGCAAGCGACTGCAGCATTAATGGAAGAAAGAAGGAACCCATTATATATGTACATATGTACGTGTATATATAAATTTAAGTATGTTTGTACTACAGCTAGTAGACAATAATATAGTTACAAGAAAAGTCGCATAAAGCCAATGAAGGTTGAGCAAGCTTAAGTTCAGAAACTAGGCTGGCCGGCAGGCAGTCAATTGCTCTTCATTGCTTGTCACACAGGACCACGTATGTATGTATGAATGTTTGTATATGAATATATACTTATAGGTGTTTACCCATGTAGTAGATAGTAGTTGGCATATCCCATTGAACTGCAAATTAAATTACCGTTAAGCATCAATCTAGCATACTCGAGCGTAATGCTAAATTCGGTCAGTATGTATATACACACACACACACCCATACACGCTCACAAATAAAATGAAAGAAGTTTAAGTATATTCTATAGAATAAAAATCCATGCACAGACAAATGAAATTGAAACCCACTCGTTTGCCGCACTAGCATACAAACAGACACACACATACACGTATACACACGTTATTTTAGATGCCTGTTTAAATGTATGCGATGTTGGCCTTCTTCAATCAAAAAAATTCTGCTTTTATTCTATGCTTTTCTTTCTGATTCCTTTTTACTTCCGCCACACATACACCCACATTACCAGCACCCAAACAAAACTGGCACGGCTTGAGCTGGTCTGCTCTGCTTTGCTCTGCTCTGACCTGTGCTGGTTGTGACTTGCCTTGGCTTGGCTGGGATCGGCTTGTCTGCTGTTGACTGGCTTTCATTTGCTTGTAAATGCTTTCACTAGCTTTTCATTTCTTATCAATACCTTCTCTTATGAGCCTGGCAAACAAACTTTACTTTACTTTACTCGCAGGTTTTCTTTGCTACAACTTTTGACTTGAGATTTTCGTTTTCATTTTATTAATCTTTTTTTTTTCTTACATTGGTATTTGTATTATTATTTCTTTCACTGAAATTGTTTTCGTTTGTCTTTCGTTAAGTTCAACCAACAAGCCATTCAGCCAGACCGCCAAGCAGTATTCATGCTGGAAGCAGCTATTGCTGCCATGCCAACCAATGGTAATATCAGCGCCAACAAAATCAGTTGGCCAAAATCAATAGCATCTGGAAATCGACAATAATTTCAAATTGATTTTCGTTTACTTTTCCACATGTCGAATAGGAGTTGCTGAGTATGTGTACGCGTGTGTGTGTGTGTACGTGAGTCACTGCACTTACATACCCATATATGTATGTATGTGAACATATATTAGATATAAGTAAAATCATCTATGGGCGGATTTACAAGTAAATACCAACATGCTCTCCACAGTAAACTCTCCTGTTCTCAGCGCTTTAATGCCACCAAGCATTCGCTGCTTGAGTGGGTGGACCGTTGGTGGGTTTGTTTGTTGGCACATTGGTTATATGCGATGGCAAACAATCAGGTTGGTGCAGAGGCATTTTGGCATCAGTTGATTTAACAAACATTGGTTGTACGTGAAATTCTTACATATTTTAATTCATCATTATTTAGGTTGGGTTGTGGGTTCGTGGGCGAAGGCTTTCCGTACTTGGAGAAATTCATGTCTAGTATTGTGCAAGTGACTTTGATTTGGAATAAATATTTGATTAGGCCTTAAAAGCAAACGAAGCTGCTTCACTCAGGAAAAAATTGATAATTTGATTATGAAACATGTTCATTCTAAAGAGCATAATTAATTTTTGAAATAAATTTTAAATTATCTTCAAATTTCTTTAGTTAAATTGAATTCTGTAATTTTAACAAAATTTTCTTTACTAACACAGAATTTAATTCTAAACTATTGCCATCTAATTAAATAAAACAATTTAAATTTTTTTAGGATCACTTAACCTTTCTATAAATTCTTTACATTTAAAAATATATTTCCTACATTTTTTCCTAAACAATAACAACGCAGAACAAAATTTATGATGATTTCGTTATTATACATGTCAGTTCGTTGGTTAAGAAGTGAGATTGAGGGCCTGACCGCAAGCAACCGCACCTAACCCATAGAGTGGACTTGCTGTGCTTACCCTAATGATACACGATTTGAGTTAACTCTTTGATGGCGTTTCGAGTTCTTAATGTTAATTTCTGTAAAATTTTACTTAACATTTCGTGGAAATTCTAGTTTATTTAAAGCTCAAATGAGAGAAAATCCTTTCTTTGTATTCTTATCTGCTGAAAGTGAAAGAGGAAGAGAACAGTTGTGAAAGCTTTAAAAATAGACTGCCATCATAATAGCGTTTCATTAGCCATAATACCGTTACACCATTATATAGGGGTACTATTGGAGTTAAACGCCAGTTCTCCAGTTAGTTCTCTAAGAAATTTGCCTGCCATTTGTTAATAAGATCACATATGTATTTTAGCTTAGAAGCTTACATTTTTTTAAACAACATTTGGAAGTCCTCACGCTCTGGGGAGGTGTTGTAAATCATTTTAGTTGAACAACTTTACCACCTATCCTTCACATTGAAAATCACTACCTCTTATGAAGCAAGAGCTTAAGTATCAGGTGACACTTAGCACCTTAAATATGTTTATATGCCGACCGTGTTGAAGCATATTTTCATTTGACCCTATTTTTGGCCCGATTCAGCAAGCAAAATTAGCAGTCGCAGTGTGGTTTAAAAAATCGATAAAAATCAATAGAATTTCTTAATTGTCAACAAATGTGGAAAAGCAAAGCACTTTTTGTATACAGCAAGTTAATCCTTAAATTTATGCTCTCCTCAAATAAAACCAAATTGATTCCGATTATTGGGACAAACTCTACTTGGCGATGCCATTTCAAATTATATGATGAAAATATTTCATTTTCCTATCCAAGTCACATATGATTTTTTGTGAAAAGCATAATATAATTGAAATAAGAGGATTTTGTTTATTGAAAAATTCTGTTATCTTATCTGGTTTGGTGGAAAATTTTTTAAGAGATATTTTTAATAGTTCCATCGATCGGCAGTCGAAAACAAATCTAAAATATGGCTGATCATCGTTTTATGAAAATAAAAAATTTGCATTTTGGAAGTAATAGAAGAAGATATGGTATAAGTACAAATAATGAAAATACTAATGTTGATTGCAAATAGAGAATTTATTAAAGTTATTTATTATGTTTGAATCATCGACTCATATAATATAAATTATTAGAAAGAGATTTTCGATCAAACTACTTCTCCAATTTATGGTTTGCGTATGAATTATTCTCTAAAATTGTGGATGTTGTTCGAGCCAAGACTCGAACCTGGTCTTTCAGAATGGCAGACGTACAGTCATTTACATTAATGATATTTATAAAATACCCTTAAAGCATAATCACGAATATTTTTCGAATCAAAAAGTGGTCGAAGAGGCCTGAGCAAGCATATATTTCTTTAAAATAGCACACAGCGTGAAAGTAGAGGAATCATTACAATAAACTCTTTCAGATATCAGTATGTACATATAAGGTTGAGATTTGAATACGTAACGATGTAACGAACCTATATATTTGTGACCATTATTTTTGGAATTCTTCTGAAAACATTTCTACTGGTTTCTGTTTAGACTCCTAGAATTTTCTTTGCATGAGGATTAGCTTAAAATACTTCTGTTTACTGACTAAATAACTAACATTTTCAGATAAAGATGGCAAATGAAAATTTCAAAAATTTACTTAGAAAGTTGTTGTTCAACATTTGAATACTAAATACTCCAAAAACACATTTTTGAAAATTAGCTCGATTATACATGATAAAAACTTATCTGCTGAACAGAGTGTAATTGTTTATTAAAATATATCATTAATTTCTAAATTTCCCAACGAAACTTGCTCCCTCTCATTTCACACAATTTCCCCTCCTTCGAACACTTACCTTGCTTTGGTGAGCTGCTGCTCATCACCTGCTGCGGTGATTGTTGCTGCGAATGTATCTGATATTGCTGTTGTTGCTGTTGCACACAAGCCTGCTGCTGAGCCACACATGCAGCGGCAGCAGCAGCTGCTGCGGCTTGCTGCTGATGATGTTGTGCAACTGCAGCGGCTGCTGCCTGTTGTTGTTGCTGTTGAGCTACAACAGCAGCTTGCTGTTGCTGATGTGCTGCTACCTGGGCGGCGGCGGCCTGCTGCTGCTGTTGTGCCTGCTGTTGTTGCTGTGCGACCGCTTGTTGATTTGCTGACATTTGCTGAGCGGCTTGCTGTTGGGCCTGCTGTTGTTGTTGTTGCTTGCTAACAGCAACAGCAGCATTATTCTGATGATGCGTTTGCTGCATATGCGACTGATGAATTGTTAGCAATTTGGTTTCGTAGGGCTTAGCATGCGGCGTGCCCACCGATAAGGGTTGGCTACTGATCGTCATTTGGGCTGTGGCTGGCATCATGAGGGTCGGCATCGCCAACATGTTTACTGGGACGTCGTCTGTGTTGGTTGTGCTGGGGGTGTTGGTGGTTGTGCTAGTGATGTTGGTGGTCGTGATCGTGGCGGTGGCGGTGGCGTTGGCTGCTATGATGGCTTTAACTGTTGCGGCCCGGATTTAAATGCACTGTTGAGTGTTTGGGTTTTAATTTTAATTGCTTGTCGATTTAGAATGCGAGTACGTCTCAGTTAATGCCTTCTTATGCAATCATAAGCGCGTTTTAATTTTTGATTTAAATTTGTCAGTTAATTTTGTAACTTTGATTTTTTTATTGGTTGAAGCGTATTTTTTGATTTAATTAAATAAATAATAATATGCAAATCGCATTGACTTTGTTTTTTTTATTTTTAGTTTCGTATGATTATATGAAACCGAACTTGGATGTTTTCTGGGCCTTTAGAATCGCTTCTGCTTTATCAAGCTCAAAATGTTAGATTGTATTATATGTATGAGTAAAGTTTTGAATGAATTTCGCTGTAAAAGTCTTACTTGACCTTCGCTTATCACAGACCAAAAATTTCAGTTTCCCATTCAAATTTTCTGGAGATTTTTACATCAAGTAATTATAATTTTGTTTCTTAAAAATTAATTTAAAAAGTTAATTTAAAAAGTTAATTTGAAGTGGCTTTCTGAGAAAAGAAAATGAATTTCAGGTCGCAGTTTCTAAAATGAATACTAATAAATAACGTAATATTGTCAATACATATGAATAAAATACAATGTAGAACTAATTTAAAATAGAATAGTTGTCATAAACTTTTTTCTTACTAATATCGACATCATAATGTTAATCGGTGAATTAGGCTGTTTAAAAATTTTTGCTTATATTAAATAGATATATTCAAAGTATGTTCAAAAGAAAAGGCGAATTATAAATTTTGAATTTTGTGCTCTTCGATTTTTCGTTTTTGAAAAAAAATTAGTTTCGCTCAGGTGTTTTTGAATGACGCCAACAATGATTCGAGTTTGCTCGAAAGTTTAACTAGAGTATACGATTAAGACGTCGAAATTAGGGCAGAATCATCCCAATAAAAGTGCCCAGATGAGCACACAATAACCTGACTAACTTTTCAGTTGTAAAAACAACAAAGTACGAATCTAAATTAGCTCATAATTTCAAAATATATGTATCAATAAGAAAAGTTTTCCTTGATCGAATGTACACAGCCGGCGAAAATTTAAAATTTATTTTTCCTTTTGAGGTCGGCCCATTTATATGTCTTCAGAGATATGTTTCTTATATTTAGAAGTCCTTTAGTTACATACTGAAAAATAGAGCTAACCTTAGAAAGAACATTCAAAATAATTCCTTGCGTCTAGTTCATTATTTAATCCATAAATAGATTGGGGAGGATCAAATATAACCCGGCAAGTAAAAATGGAGTCTACGGAGATAATTTGAGCATGGCAATTGCATAATCATACGTGTTCACATAGCAGCGATTCAATTCCTATTGCGCACTAAATTTTTTCACAAGTTTAATTCTCACATGGGTAGTTTAACATATTACATAAACTGCGATTTATCTGATCTTTTGAACGCTTTGCTCAGGATCTGGATACGATAGTTACATACTTAGCATTAAACTATGCAAACATGAAACACTTACGGCGTATACTACAAGTACAGGCGTTTTCTTAAAGACCCATATGCTAATACCCAGTCTTTCAAGATTGTTAAAAGATATATAATCAACAAACCAACCAAATTAGAAATGAAATTTGGTAGTGATTCGCGCTCATGGGGTATTTTTGTGCAGTATTTCTAGAGACAAACAATCTTTGGCATTTACCTTTTCGGATGACACAGCTATATTATGTAGTACTGAATGTACCAGAAAAGCTTTAAAAACAGTTGAGTACTACTTAATTTATAATTGGGAGGCTGGAAAGTTTGAAGGTATAATCAATAGTTACCCTTGCACTACGCCCACATACATGTCCTGCAATCAGATTATATATAGTATAATTATCGCTTTAGAACTGCTAAAGTGATTTTCTGAAGCTTTCCCAACAAATGGAGAAACCTACAAACGGCCAATGGCTTTTTATAAGTAAAGGGTGATTTTTTTAGCTATTATCTTTTTGGCAACACTTTTTTAAACAGCTGACGTATGTTTCATCTTTTGTATCACTGTCAAACATCTTCAGTTTGATCTATAATTTAACCATGAATCGTCTTACGAACGAATAACACTTGCACATTATTGAGTTTTATTATTAAAATGCCTGCTATGTTCAGAAAGCTCATCAAACGCTTTTTATCGAAAAATTGTGTGGCTTAATGGCTGGATACATGAGCAGAATTGTCGATTTTGGAGTGAAGATCAGCCAGAAGCATTGCAAAAGCTACTCATGCATTCAGAAAAAGTTACAGTTAGGTGCGGGTTATGCCCTTATGACATCATTGGACCGTACTTCTTCAAAGATGATGCGAATCGTAAGGTAACTCTGAATGGTGAGCACTACCGTGAGATGATATCAAACTTTTTTTGCCTTAGATACATGAGCTTGACTTGCATGACATGTGGTTTTAACAAGACGGTGGCACATGCCACACAGCACGCGTAACAATGGACTTAAGCAGGAAGTTGAAAGGAAAAGAACGGTGTACTTCACATAATCTTACTCTTTGTGAAACTCATTTGGAACGAAACAATCCTGCCTTCCAAGAAGGGTAATTTTAAAGCAATTTGTAATGTGTAAAGATGTATACAATTGCTTTTAGACTTATGCAGATTTAAGCAGTTTCAGTAAATAAAACCCTGGTCGTAAAAAATAATATAATCCGTGATAAAACTTTACTTTAATTACAAAAACTATTTAGCGATCCGTAAATGATATCGAAGGCCAAATCCTAAGCAAAAATATAAATTTTCAAATCCCAAATTTTTTTTTTTCAAAAATATGTTCGTTTTAACAAATTTTTTATTTGATTTTTTGATCTATCTTATTTACAATTACTTTCGAATTTATTAAAAATGAAAGAATTAAAAATAATTTAATTAAAAATTATTATTATTATTATTATGCAATATAAATCTCGCAACAACTTATATATTAAAAAATTTTCGAAAACTTAATCATTTTAAATTTTTTGCCTTTTCACAGCACGAGTTTCAAGTGCAAACGAGAGAATTTCAAACAATGAACATTCTCACATATTTTTACTGTTTAACTGCACTTACTGTGCACAAATATCATATTATGTACCAAAAGTAAAAATAGCAAAATGTGTCTGCGTGAAGTACAAAAAAAAGCCACAAAAACAAAAAAAAAATTTTTTACGGAAATGCCGACTTCATCTTCCAAAGTTCACGACGCTGGGTTGAATCTTAGCAGAAAAAGAACAAAATATTTAATGACTTTTCCGCTTCCACACGAAGCTGGAAGCGGATTCAACCCCAGATTCGTTTTACGATCGTACACACGCAAATATTGAAGACAAAATAAATTAAAAAATATGTATAAAAGAGGTTATTTTATATTATAAAAAGTATTATTATTTTATATTTCTTGTATATATACTCGTATGTACAATATATAAATAATGTATATAATAATTTTTTTTACATATGTACATATAATATATATGTATATTTAATCAGTTATAACTTTAAATACACCTTGCTCAACAATTTTATACGCTAAATGGGCGTGTATGAGTGTACATAATTTCTCCGATCCGAAGTTTTTGTATTATGTATGTATGTCAACAGCTGAGAAAATCGATTTTATTTAAACATATGTATATGCGTAGCACAACAAACTCCAAAATCGTGTAGATGCGGAAATTAAAGCAGATATAGCACACATCCAACCTCTAACATACATATGTATTTGAAAAACACACATGGAAAGAATTATTTTTGAGCAAATGGATGCTGCTTTTTCGCAATCTAAATTGCGCTAAGATTTTCACGAAAGAGAGATATTTTTTTTAAACAAAAAGATGGATACTAAAACAAAACATCGTTGATAAAATATTCAATTTAAAAAAAATCACTTAAATATTTTTTAATTAATTGCGATACAATAGAAAGTTTATTAATTTTCAACACATTTAAAAATAAGTACTACAGGCGTTTCATAAGAGTTCTAGTTACAAATCAGAGCACTGGACTTATGAAATTTTTGTTATTCCATTTTTTTATTAAAAAACTTAAGTTTTTATACCTTTGGTAAATGCTTTAAGCACTGAAAAATAAATACTAGGTGTATTAAATAGTATCCTGAAAATAAATAAATAATTTATACCTCTTCGGTTGTATTAAATATTATATTCCATACGTTTTTATTTTCGTAAAAAATAGGTTTTAAATATTTTAGACAGATCACACACCATTTAAAAAAATCAATATATATTTATTTTGAAAATATCTGCACTTACTTGCATTCATATATGCAATATAGTTATTTTTTTATAACCGTACTATAATAATTGCTTTCAGAAAAATTGTAAAAGCAATAAAAAAGTAAGAAAACTTCATCTCAGAAACCTTATGTTTAATTTGCAACTATTCGAAAAGCAACTAAAATTTGTGTTTTGATATTAAATTTGATTTTTTTTTTGGTAGGTAATCAAACATTGAAGAAGCTCTATAAGATTAAATAAAAAAATATTATTATTCACAACATAAATTGAATTCAAAAAAGTTTAAATGCATAATTAAAAAATTGAAATGTTTTCACGACATTAAAAATAAAAATAGGTATGAAATATTTTATGCGAACTTAACCTTTTCATACATTACATCGAAACGAAATTATTTTAAACAGTTAACACTAAATAATTATTTTAAATTACATATTTTTGAGTGGCATAAATCTAAAGGTATTTAAATTTAGCTTAAATATCTTAAAAATATCTACAATCCAATAAATACCAGTGGTTATTTATTCAAAATTTAATTTCCAAGTTTTTAGAAGTCCCACAAGTTTTTCATCCTACTTACTACCTTTAAAAAGAATTTATTTAATTCATCGTTTACATAACACACTAACACTGGTACCGATTTATAAGTATACGCCATAAAATCAAGTATTAGCACTTTAACTAGTTTTTCACTTTCTTCCAGCCACTTCAAAAAACTGATATTTCTATTTTTCATACATAATATTGTATTTTAGCATCTATTAATTCCACTCACTGTGTTTTATTTTTATTTCAAATAGTTGAAATTACACTAAATGATTTTCCGTAAATATCCTTTAACGCAATTGTCTATAAATATTTTTGTTTATTTATTTTCTCAAAATTTTTGATTTTGAAATACTTTGGCGTTGTGACTAAATTCGCACTTCGTTATACACGTTTTTACCTTTGTTTTTAAATAATTTCTTTTATATATGTTAAATACATAAATAATTTCTCGAAATCTGGGGGACTTTAACTTCGCCGTTTGATTTTAATTTTCCGCTTTTCTATTTGACAGTTCAAGATTTTAAATATTTTTTTTTAGATTGCGCTTTGGCTTTTTTGTTGGTAGCCTTTATTTTATTTATTTGCTAAGTATGACTTTTCTTCTTCAATTGCTGCTTCTTCTCAAAAATTATAATAACAACTTAACGACAATGTAACGAATATCCTTTCTTTACGAGGACACAATTCAAACTGAATGCGAAGCTACGAAGTCGCCATCACAAATACTCAAAATAGCGAGGACAAGACGTCGACGCTGCCAATAGCCAGTAGGCCGCTGTCAACGTAGCTGTCGTCGGCAGCATGCAACACATCGTTTTCGAAGTTTTATATTCTACTTTACTCGATACAAAGTGGCGGCATTCGCCTTCGTAGTCGCCGTCGTTATCATCGTTCACCGTACGTTGGCGGCAGAGTCTCGCGTGAGCTTACGAGCTTAGCAGGCGTCGTTGGCAGAGAAATCGCTGAAAGGCTCGTCGCTCGTCGCACTTTTTCACATCGCTCATTCGTTTGGCGAGGAATGATTTGATATATAATATTGACTGCCAACAGTGACTACACTTGTGCTTGACAGTACGAGAAATATTTGGTTGGTGGATACATGCTCTCTCTCATATATCTCTAGTGAAAGCCGCTTTTCGAAAATGAGTTTGCTAACTCTCAGGCAAGCGCAATTGTGTTTCTCTAGTTTCCAAAGGACTTCGGACATGTTTCGAAACATCCATTTCGTTTCGTAGGATTATATGCGTCTCGCGATTAAACACGACCAAACTCTTTTGAAAATATGCGATTGCAAGCTTTGGACTCGCATTGGTTGCAATTCATGCCATTTACTGTTGTGTTGAGTAAAAATTCGGCCTCGTGTTTCGAACATGCGAACAGAACTTTGTCTAACCACCTGGTTGGAAGCCTCACTATTAACGGGTTTTTCTGATTTATGGCTACGTTGCATCGTCTTATTATAAAATTTTAACTGTTATAAAGGTTTCTGCTATAATCAAATTCGAAGATTTTCGAAGTTTTTGTATATGTGGTGAACAACGTGAAGGATATCTCTGTCATAAATGCTTAAACAGAAGACGAAGAAAAAATTTTGTGCACGCTATAAAAATGCCCATCAATTCAAAAATATATTACATAATTGGAGCTTTGTAACTGCTGAAGCAAATTTCGACCGATTTCCTCCTGTAAATGGAGCGACCTACTGTTTAACTCTTTTATTTATTTTTTTTTTTTTTGATGTTGGCCGTATCAGGACTCTTGGGCTTCCGCATGGGAGTAAGTTGTAATTGTTGCATTATCCGTTTATTCAACAAAAAGCTATCTATCAATTTTTTCGCGACTCAAAGTGACTTCAACTGAGCAAAGTCAAATCTCGTTTAGTTCCAAAAATACTGAATTTTTCGGAAAAACAACAGCTCACCTGCATTGATTCCTCATTAGTTTTACGTGGAATGTTCGAATCATATTGTTCCACAACTACCAAATGAGGAATTGAAAGCCGACCTATGAATATAAAAGATTATTCGAGTTGGAAAAAAAGGCTATCACATTTACATGACATCAGATTGGCTAAAAATTATTGTATTGCATATTTCATAAAAATGAAAAAGTCCCCATGGAAAGTGAACACATTTCCCTAAAATTTTCTATCATAGCAATAACAGAATCCATGGGGAGTATCCAAACCAATACTAATGCCAACCCCCTATAGCCAAATTGAGCGCCTCGTAACGAAAACGAGGCGACTACGCCAACAATGAGCAAACAATCAATCCCATCTATAATAAAAGTAACAGCAGCTGAGGGAAATGTGATTTTTACTAATTTTCTGACTATCGCAATCGTTCAAATTATAACCAAAGCGGTGGTAAGAAAAACAGCCCAAAAGCTGTAAGTGGAAAAAACAAATTAAATCGTTTATCAAACGACCTTAACTCTCCGCAGTAACAGTGTCAGTTTCGTCATTGTCGTCCAAGTCCAATATCACCTCCGGCCAAAGAGTGCACAGAGCAGTTTTCTTTTTCTGTTTTTTTTTTCTTCAATTACTTGGGTACTCACGGAGCCCAAAATACGAAAGGAAATGCTGATTTCGCTGAAGAATATCTTGTTTGAAAATTCGCCGACTATTTGTTGTTCAAGCAACCAATCGACGTATGTACGGCTTTAGTTGTTTTGTGAGCTGGACATTATATGGATGTAATTATAAGCCATACAATATCTGCAACCGATCCATTTTCTTCAAATTTTTACGAACTGCTTAAGCAAGTGGACGATTATTTGCGTCATAATCTGCTCTAAAAGCCTGAAATGTAGTCACGTTTGAATCATCAATTTTGTAGTAGGTTTTAACAAAGCTTTAAAGTGCGGTGGTTGAACGATCAATTTTCTGAAATTTCGGACTTTCAACTAAAACAAATCATGTTTGGTGAGACAGTTGAGTTTGACGAATGTCAAAATATAGCTCTACACTTTTGAAACCACAAAATGGATAAGGCTATATATGTTTATCTAAAAATAAGTTGAAGCAATTCATTCCTGATATTAAGCTTAACAAAAACTACGATAGCTGAGTTAAGAGTAAATTGAAATATCTATTTTTTAAATTTTAAGCAAACCAAACGTTTACCAATATTTTTTTGAATATATCGATTCCACTTCCCGTAAGTAAAAGAGCTTATTATGTTAATCCAGGCAAAAAACATACCTATGCAACAAGTTTCAAGTGAATCAAACCAAACTTGTTATAACATTTTTTCATACTAAAAATCGATCACTGCAAAACTTTCCAGAGAGAGGAAAAATTTTCTTTACTACACCAAACAATCACAGAAATTCTTAGTTATATGAAATTATCATCGAGAAGGAATTGTCTTCACCGCATGCATAGATAGGAATGGCGACTACACAAAATGGGTTTGCGATTTTGATAATAAAATTTTATTTATCTTGTAGACTCCAACCAAGGGTTATACTTCTCAGTAGACTCTCGAATTTCAAGAAAAAATAAATACTTTGTCAGCATCTAAATAAAAAAACTGTTTGCATTAAATTTTACCGATTCTTGAAATTCAGGGTCGTCATTCAAAACCGATCGATTTTTAAAGCATCCAATTAAACTCTTGAACTTTTTTATTTAAATAAATGTCTTTAATTTTAGATGCTAAAATTTTTTCTGTAAACTTTGATTTGTTCTATTCGAAAAAAATCTTCGAATTTTCCGGCTGTCTTATATTCAAGCTATGAATTGCATTAATTGCTACAATATAATTGTACGGATTTGTTTTTTTTTGTATGATTCAATATTATAAAGGAGTACAAAAAATTATAATCTAGTGACCATTTTCGTAATTTGAAAACAAATATATATACATATATAAATATATAAAGGGCTGAATACAATTACATGGTCAATGATTACGAATTGAAAAACCTTTTTTTTTAAATGGTGTAATTCAATCATTATAAAACTTTGTATACTTTCTGAAATATAGATGAGAAATGTAAAAATATTTTTTTTTTTCGAGGATTGCGGCTGTGCGCTGGCGTGAAGTCGACCTCCAAAAAAAAAAAAACGGCAACCACTCTGGACGTCGTATTATTGATCTGTAACAGCCCATATAAAAATTTTGTAATTTGTTGGTAAATCTTAAAAATTACAAAAAAAAAATTAATAATTCTCCGTTTGGTAGAAGTTTTTGTAAAAACAATAATTTTTACTATTTTTTAGCCAATTTTGCATTAATAATTCAATATTGCTACATAAAAATTCCAAATCATTTAGGTTTACAGACAAATGTAAGGTATAAAGAAGAAACCCAAAAAATTTCAGCTAATTTGGACAAGTAATTTTCGAGTAATTGTGGTTGTCAATTTTAAAAATGTTGTTTTGAGGAAAATGCGTTTATATTATAATTTTAAAAACCACGTTCGGCCGCTCTCGTATACCTGCTAAAAAAGGCATTCTTGAAAAATGAAGAAGTTTCCATCTGAAACTTTTTGGAGCGTGTTCCACGAGAAATTTCCTAATTTTTTAGAGGAACAAAGCAATCTTTATTTTTATTAGTAAGCCCAACGAATACCCTCCACCCGCCCAACCTTCACGGAAGCGACATTCGAAAAACGTACGACTACAGGAAAAAAAAATCAAAAAGTAATTTTAAAATTTGTGGAGATATTGTATTTGACTCGAGTAAATAATTCCTACACAGAGATACAAATTTTATTTTGTTTTTCTTTCTTAACTTAAACAAACAACGCATTCTGTCTAAGCTGGTGGGTAGGAGGGAAAGGATGTTTAGGAGTAGAAAAGGTGCTAAGGGCTAAAAGTATGCTGGGGAAATTGGACGTGGGAAGATCCATGCTTAAACACATTCTATATATAACGCTTTTTTTAAATTAGGGTTATTTATGAGTTCTAAAGCATGGATGCGTATAAGAACAGAAAAAAAATTAAAACAATCGCCTTCGGCCATGCCATGCTAATTTTATCTACAATTTCAATGATTTTCATGGTCAATATTTAATTATAAAAATTTTAACAACACTAAGTGTTATGATTTTAAATGCTTTGTGTGTGGGAGCTATAAATTAGAGACTTCCGGTTTCGTTAAATTTCAGTACCAAGGGTAGGGTCATTTCATGGGATTGGATAAGGACTCGAGCCCTACTCTTCTGAGAGGCAGTAGTTTTTATAGCTAGTAAAAATGTTTTCATATCAACTGTTTTAAGCTAAGTCTCTCCTCTTGATAGGGAAAGGGTAGAAAAAGTGGCCTGCTCACTCAATCTTGTCCAAACTTCAAGCAATAATGAAACATTGCGGTAAAATATTGAGAATACTAAGAAAAATTGCATCATTTTAAGAAATTAAACCCCTATTAGACCCGATTCTTTACTTATAGTTCCTCCTAATATTTAGAAACTTTTGAAAGCCTTTTTATATCCCGTTTCTCCTGATGCTTATAAAATCTGTAGGTTGAAAATATTTGTAGAAAATATCACTAAAATTTAAGTACTGAAATTAAGTTCATTTCATTCCTATGGTTGCAACGACGAAATACGAAATACTTAACTGCAACCAGCAACCTATTGCAAATAACGATAAACATTTTTACAATGAAAATTTTGTGATCAATTAAATATCCCATTAATTCGACCACAAAGCCAATA